TATTTCACACCATACCTCGTAAACACGTAAAGCCGTTGGTTCTGCGCCTGATTTCTCTCCTATCCTATCGGACTGCCGTCCCATCGGGATATGATAGTGGACCCCGCGCCTACGTCACAGTGACCGAGTGAAGCCGGCCACAGTCGAGCGTGTGCCTGCTGTACTACCATATGTCAGAGGTGTCACAGACAAGATTGGCTACATCTTGAAGCGAGCTTCTATTAGAACATTCTTCAAACCGCTGAATAAGATTAGTCAGTTCTTACCATCCGTCAAGTGCAATATTCCTCTACAAGATCCAGGAGTGTTCACGCTTGATTGTGAATGTGGTCTCTTATATATAATAAAACCCGCGTAAAAGAACACATAGCTGATGTGAAGCACCAACGTTCCGGGAAGTCTGCAGTTTGTGACATATCCTAGACGGCCCCCGTCATTACATTAGATTTGATAAACCACAAATTCTCGCGAAAGAACATCGATTTCTGCCAAGGATGATACGTGAGGCTATTGAAATTAAAAAACATCCTAATTTCAATAGAGAGGGACTACCACCTGCTTGGAATCCTGTAATTAATAAAATTAAAACTAAACCCAAGCATACCACTGCAAGACTTCAAGATACAGTAAGCTCATTCGGACCAAAAATTAATAATAAAAAAGCTGAAGGTACTCGGGATTAACTCTGACATCGGGACGTCAATAACCTCAGTCCCTCGTGACCATGGGTGCTGGAAAGCACCCGAAACGTCAGGAATTAATAAAAATAATCAAAATAAGTTAATTAAACGCGATAAAATCCGTAAAAGCAGTTTTAATCAACAAGAATTTTTTTACGTGGTAGAGCCATGCTGCAGCTATATTAGTAGTGTAGTTGTAGCACGAATGGATCGGCTCGACCGGGGAAGGACCACGCTCTCACAGAATACCAGCGTAAAATGGCAGCATAACGCTGCTGTATTTCGTATGGTGAGTGCAGAGAACCGGAACCCCTTTTTACTGGAACGAAGCATTCCATCTTAGTCCTCACCGGGTGAAAATGCATCTGCATTTTGATTCGTTATTGAGGATAAATGTCAATCTCTATGAGTCACAGCCACCACTTACCATCAGGTGGACTGTGTGCTCGTTTGTCATCCTTATCCTATGCATCTGTGACCTTTATGTATATAGTCGCATGCATGTGTCCATGGTATGCAGCAGCCACGCGCGTACCAGGTGGACTGTGAGTTCGTTTGTTACTTCAGTTTTATATTAATGAGGAGGCTTTCACTAAACATTATTTCGGTATCGGTGTATTTAACATTTCGGCCAATAATAGGTAAATAATTGTGTCGACGCCAGATAGTCGACAGTCGACCCGAGGCGCTTAATATTATGTTTATTGTATAGAGCCATACATTATAGTACATTCAACCAATCACACTACACAAATACTCACCACGTCATTCCCGATACTCATATTCGTTCTCACATTCCCATTTTAATTTCTAACCACACAAGGCACAAGCACAACACCATGAAAAATATAGTTGTAAATCTGTAAATTCAGACGAATAAATCTCTTCATAGATCTATGATTTCTTGCTTTTGTTCAACGCGAACAAATTGTAACATTTATTTTGTACTAGCTGTGCCCGCGGCGTAGCTCGCGTATACAGGTTTTACATAAAGAATTTGTCGTTTAGGTAAGAGAATATTAAACGATTTATTTCATTACTGTATCAATAAGTGGTAACAAAATAAATCATTATCATCAAAGTTCTAAGTCGTTTATGATAGAGCTTCTGTGTAAACGACGTTAGAAGTAGGCTTAGCCGGGGTGTACACAAAAACGTTACGGGGGCTACTAACGCGGGAAAAAGCAACATAGAGTTGGCCATGTGCAAAACAGTCAGTACTGAGGTACACTCCTACAACGCGTAAAGTTTAACCTTGCGCTTTATTTACGGTCATCGCATAACATAAACTCACTGTAACTGGGAACTGAACGCGCTTAAAACTGAAAGGAAAGTTACTTCTTAATAGAGGGTTTTTGGGCAGTGCTGCCAGATAAAAAAAAACTCATTCAGCTCTAGGACAACACAAAAAGCGCTAGATTTCATGAAAACAGCGCTTTAAAAAAGCCCTAGATTTCGCGCTAAATTAACTACAAACAAAGTTTGTAGTTAATTTAGTCGATGGATGCAGGTGGCTCAGGACCGTGCTTTGTGGCATTCTTTGGGGGAGGCCTATGTTCAGCAGTGGACTTGTGAAGGGCTGTAATGATTATGATGATGATGATGAAAGTTTGTGTATTTTTATATAATCATAATAAAGAAAACAACATTAAGTTTTTTTTCTGGCAATATTTTTTTGATGTATCAATACTTCGCAGGACATCGACTTATAATTATAGCAATTGCTGTCTACAGTAGTTAGTACTGTACGAACAATAAAAATGTCATTAATTGTTTTAAAGTGCAATGTATTTCGCAACATAGTTTCAGATGTCAGCATCTGATTGCGGTTGCTACACAGTTTCTTTGTGTTATAACTTCTAAGTAACTTTTAACTTAGCTGTGCTCTAAGCAACTGACTGAAACTGAATAAAGCAAAATAAATGCGTTGCCAAAACCATGAACGAAAACTTTAATAAAGGGGATTTCCCCGCTTATAGTCGTCGGTAAAAAAATCAAGTTGATCATCCTAAAGGGGAAGCCAGGAGATCCATAGCACAGGGTATCCTAGTTTGGACTCGTCTCCCATGCTCTTTGTTTTGTGGAAAAAATATGTTTGAAAAAGATAAACTGCAATGTACTATTTGTGGGAAAAAATAATAAAGGTCATTATTATTATTATCGGTAATGTGGACTAACAGTGCTGCTATAAAAGAGTTAATAACCCGCTAGTCGCTAAAATATTGAAATGTGTGCTAAATACACCAAAAAGCGCTGGATTAAGCGCTAGGTGCTAAAATTTCGAAATGCGAGCTATACATTCCAAAAAAGTGCTAAATCTAGTTCCCAAAGCGCTAAAATGGCAGTTCTGATTTTGCGTATATTATAAATACAATATCACGACATTTCGTTGCGAAATTTTTATTTTTGGTCGGGTTCCGTTGTATCATTGTATGGCTTCGATGGATACAAATTTCTTCAGTAAGTCTCAATAGAAAGAAAGTAAGAAAGAAAGAAAGGTTTATTCTCCAAAATGACGCCATCACAGATAACATAAAAAAGAAACACATAATTTACAAATAATATTGGCTATACAATACAAATTACAATATACTACATATTACAAACTATACAATACCAATACTCATATGTGTCAAGGCGTCATCTACGATACGATTCATCGGCGAAAAATCTCAACACAGCAATTCAGAAAAGTTTGTAATTTGTACAACTCCATCTATTACGTCCTTTGTGTGAGAAAACATCTCTTCTCTTTTTGTGTTTTAAGTATAAATATATTAATTATTATGGAACGTTTTTTTACACAGAAATCTTTTTATTAATATTTCTGAGATTTTATGGCGCCATTGAACAAATTCGAACCTACATTTCAAAATAATAATCATTACTTTCGATAGAATTAACCAATTTCAATAAAACAAAGATTAAATGTAACTCGAAGATACGCTTTATGATATTCTTAACGATTTCTTTGAAAATAAAAGATGTTTACTTTAGACGTGATGCGTTCATATAATAACAGACAAATAGACAGACAGACAATTCTAAAAATTATAAAATGTTCTTATTTAATTATTTTCAGTTCATCATAATGATTTTAGCCACCAAAATATATATACAATGTACAGAAAGAGACACAACATGTTATCATCATTTTTATTATATGTATATATTTAAAGAGAGATGGCGCTGCTAACATCATCAATTCTAAAAATAAAAGAGATTAATTGACGCGATTGATACATTATATAAAACGTAAGAGAACTTATAAATCAGTGCCTGCACAGTAAGCAAAAAATAAAGTTTGACTCTCGCCAAAACCAATGCAATTGTTAATAGCTCTTTTAAAATTTGATTTACCACATAGAGTACTCGGCGGTAAAGAATAAATTGAGTTTATCAACACGCAGTAGGGCAGCGAGTAATATAATAAAGATTAGCAGTAAATATGAAAACTCTATCTACAGAAAAAAACCACATTTGCAATTGCATTGCATTTTCACAACACCACCATCTATCGAAGAAATGGGTTAACTATTGTGCTTCAGATTTAGTTAATAAGGTTAATATATTTTTGTATAATATATTTAATACGTTCTTTATTACTTTTGTTTACTGCGTTTTAGATATACATAATTATATCATTATTTTACATAATTTAACTATGATTTATGATATGATATTAGTTTAAAATGCACTTGATGACTCAAACAAAGCCACCGTTGAGCAAATTCGTACCTATACTTCCCTACCCATACTTCAGAATATTTATCATAACTTTTGATGGAATGAACTGATTTTAATGAACTAAAGACTAAATGTAACCCGAAGATACACTTTATAATTTCCTTAACAATTCTTATGATATAAATTAGTACTTTATACGTGATACGTTAACAAACAAACAGACAGACAGACAGACAGACAGACAGAAAATTCTAAAAATGGTAGAAATGTATTTAATTACTTATTTTTAGTACCCCTCAATCACTTTTATTACAAAAATATTAAATGTACAGACATCTGCTATTTACAGTTTTATTATATGTATAGATAATACTAAATGCTACGCCAGGCTACAAGTACTACGAGGTTACAAGAGCTACGAGACTACGAATGCTACGATTAATCTACGAACTATTTTATATAAGTACCAAAGTTTAAAAAACTCTCAAACTTTATCCATAAAAATTCTTAGTCACCGTCAAAGTCGTTTATTCTATAAACATTGTATGAGAAAACATAATTAAAAGTAATTTGTGTGTTTATTTTTTTATTTACTCATTTTTTTTGTTCCTAGGCGTTGGTTACGCGATCTGCATGATAGACATCTACATGGGCATGTACTACAACACGATAATCGGCTGGGCAGTGTACTACTTGATAGCTTCCCTGGCGTCCGTGAGCTCCGTGCTGCCGTGGACCAGCTGCGACAATGAATGGAACACGCCCCTCTGCACGCCGATCACCTCGCCACAGATCTTCTTAAACGCTTCTACGCCCGCCAAGGAGTTCTTTGAGTAATTATTAATTTTATTCCGTCATTATTAATATTTAACTTCTGCTTTACCTTTACGGCCTATTAAACCACTGCTGAACATAGGCCTCAATTAATTTGATAAGTTACCACGCCTGGCAAGCGGGTTGGCTAACGAAGTTTTTTATTTTTAGTAGTTAATAGAAAGACACTGCTGTCCATCTCTTGATTTGTTTCCCCCTGCCACCTCTTACGACACCCACGGGATGATATGGATCTTACACCGCACCGCCACTAGACAGTATTCTTGTTCTTTGACGGCCTGTAAAAGTCTCAAGGTCGTAGGACTCAACACTTGTAGGGAGTTTGCCTTAATCGTCATTCTTAGCAGTTTGATTGACTATCGTAGTGCCAAACGTGCCGTTGCCTTTCTATGTAATTAACTCTTTAAATCTAGCAGTAATAATTTAAAATTAAAAATTTTATACAACCAACTTCAATATATATTATAAAGGATAACTCAAAAACTATTGGTCAGTCCTTGATCAAATTTATATAGGACTAAATGAAAAGCACCAGCATTCAAATAAAAAAAGAATCTTCAAAATCGGTTTGCGTAGAACAAAGTTATGAGGTAACACACGTAAAAACATACAGTCGAATTGAGTATCCCCTCCTTTTTGAAGTCGGTAAAAAATTAACAGAAAACAATGAAATTTGTACGGAAATCTGTAGTTAAAACTTGCTAAATAATAGAATAGGTTCTATAAAAAACAAGTTACTGCTATCTTTACATAAAGTTACCAGTAAAATAACGAAATTAATGATAATTGAGTCAAATAATAGGTGCTAATTTATTGCTAGAAGATAATGTTAGAAAAAAGTGTTGGATGCTGAGAAAGCTAGCAATAAAAAATAAAGTAAAAATGGGCTGGCTTTGGCAACCTGTTGCTACTCGTAACTAACTACCAGTGTCCATGCCAACATAGCGCGTGAATTTCATACGCAAGATGGAGTCATAAATTTTGTTGTTGGTCAAAAATGCCACTAATGATACTCAGGTGGTCAGCCATAAAATAGAAACTTTCTCTGGACTGAACTGGACTGGATCGCGAAACTCGCAGGCAGCCAGAAAGCCAGCGCGAAATATTCCAGCGCAACTTGTCTATCTCTTCTTCCAGTTCCAGGATCTTCTCGTCAGTCCTCAGGGTGCTCGTCTCGTCAGTTCAATATTTGTATGGTCTACAAATAATTGAGCGATAATTGGGAATGAAATTTTTTCTGAGTCTGGATCAGAGTAAAGGAGGAAGGATCTTTACTCATGTGTACTGGATGTTCGTCCTTGTGAAATGTATGTATGTAAATTGCCTCCGTGATACAGGAGAAAACTTTAGTTTGGAGGTAACGAGGAAATTTATCAAAAGTTAATATGTACATCAAATAAAATTGTGTCCTTCACGGGTAGATCAAAAATATATTGAGTCAATAATTTCAGACGCAGCGTGTTGGAACAACATAAATCAAACGGTCTGGATGACATGGGACCGATCAAGCCATCGCTTGCTCTGTGCGTCTTCGGCGTGTTCGTGCTAGTCTACTTCTCGTTGTGGAAGGGTGTCAGAAGTGCTGGGAAGGTACGTCTGTGGACTTTATATTAAACCTTTTGAAATAACCACTATTTTGTGTTAATAAATGTTATATAAGAAATTAAAGTTCTAGTTATAACTTCGGGGCCTTTTACTATTAATGGTCTATCGTAACCACATATTAAAACAGATATTACAGCAGATAAACTTATAATTACAAAGTATTACTATGTTTTCTTCATGGATGATCACACTCACAAATATTTTTACGATTTAATTTATATCCATGGCAGCTATGTTCTTACCTATGTTTTGTTTCTTTTTCAATACAACATTACATCATTATCACAGAATACTTCACTCCTAGCGGAGATCATTATCATTACAGCTTTCACAAGTCCCCTGCTGAACACAGGCTTTCCCAAGGCACGGTACTGAGCCACTCTATCTAGTGAGAGGATCGCGCTTCACTTGACTTACCGGTACGAGGCTGCCACTCGAGAATTTTTCTTTCCCATCGGTTGTTTGTTCTTTAAGCTGTCGGTTGTTCACTTTTTAAAATTACTGCAATTGCCTAGTACCGTCATCAAACATCCAGCAAGCGGATTAAACGAACATAAAAAAAAAAGAGAAACGTATAAACATCGCTACAATCCTTCTTATATTGTTAAAGGAAGTTCTGTCTAGCACCAAAAAAATATTTGCTCAAACCTATTCCGCAAAAGTATTGTAGGCCGGACTTTCTCTTAAAAATATGGAGGAGTTACAAATGAGACATAAGCTTACAAAATATATAACATATTTGTAAGCCAAGCTGCATGGTTTTATGGCTGCAGCAACAAATGGAATGTTTTGACCTGGGGTGGATCACGTTGTGCGTATGGCGAGCGATGTGTACCACAGAATATTTTTACTGTTAATGAGACATTCCATCGTAATCCTCAGGTGTGAGCACGCATCTACAATTTTTATCGTCGTCATAAATTTTTATAGATGTGATTTTTAGCCACCGATTATCATTTGTAATATTTTTTGGAACGAAGTTCCTTTTAGGACGGTACGGGTTTGGCGGATGGGAGCTAGGCGACAAAAAGTGTAAGATTTTTTCGTCACTACCCCTTGTGTCATAGTGTAGACGGCCTTGGCCGCGAAATAAGGAAATGAGATGGAATGATATCCATCTCTTACTTTTTCTTAAATTGCCATGAAAGAAATATTATTTTATTTCAAATGACGCTTCATTTTAACAGACGCTAGTAATTCATTTATTCGTATTTGTTAACCAATAATATAATATCTACGTTTATCAATAATAATATACTACGCAAGGAACTTCGTTCCAACCGAGTGTTCCACGACACTCACGCATTTTTTTATAACATTTAAAAACGATTTCCTTTCTCAGGTTGTGTGGGTTACTGCTTTAGCACCATACGTGGTCCTGCTAATCCTACTCGCAAGAGGAGTCACGCTGCCTGGAGCTACTGAAGGGATACGATACTATCTCACTCCTGAATGGCATAAGTTGCAGAACTCCAAGGTAAGACATTTATTTCCATAGGCTGTTATGGATATATTTATATGTGGTAGGGTCATGCTGCAGCTATATTAATTGTATAGTTGTAGCACGAATGGGTCGGCTCGACCGGGGAAGGACCACGCTCTCATAGAATACCAGCGTAAAATAGCAGCTTAAACCTGTGTTTCGTATGGTGAGTGTAGAGAACCGGAGATAATTTTAACTGGATAAGAGGCATTCCATCTTAGCTCTCACGGCTGAAAACGCATCTGCATTTTGGTTCGCAAACGATGATAGATGTAGATGTCTATGTGTGTCACCCTTATCCTATAAAAAAAATATAACAGCCTATCGAAGGCTGAACTAAATAAGGCGGGCGGGTTGACAATCGTAGTTTTTTTTTTACTATTATTAAATTGTTATCAGGAGGATGATATTGTCCATATGTTGTTTTAGTTTTCCTATGGCGTCATGAATGACACCCATGGGATCAATTGTGTCCCGTGTCCAGTTCACGGAATTTTGGTTCGCCGTGAGCGGACACAACGATGCAAAGATATTATTGTTTTATTATCATCATTACAGCCCTTTACAAGTCCACTGCTGAACGTAGGCCTCCTCGAAGGAATACCATAAAGAACCTCAGCCACCTGCATTCATCGACTTCCTGCGTCTCTTACCAGATAGTCACTCCATCTTGTGGGACTATTCTTCGTTTTCCATTACAAAGTTGCCAGGTTGTCCAGAACTTTTCTTCCCCGTCGGTTCTTGAAGCTATAGCCGGCTGTATATTTAGTAGCAATTGATTCAAAATCAAACAGAATTTAGAAGAATTAAATAGAATCTTAAGCAGGTAATTATGTCGTCAGGTGTGGATCGACGCTGCATCTCAAATCTTCTTCTCTCTGGGCCCCGGGTTCGGCACGCTGCTGGCGCTCTCCAGCTACAACAAGTTCAACAACAACTGTTACCGCGACGCCCTCATCACTTCCTCCATCAACTGCCTCACCAGCTTCCTCGCCGGCTTTGTTATCTTCTCTGTCCTAGGGTAAGCATTAAAGTTACATGTTTTTTTAATATATATTTTCCCTCTTAATTAAATTTATTTTAAACTTACTCTCTCTCACTTTTTAAACGATTACGAGAGTAAAAATATCCTTTTAGCTTTTAACAGCCGTGGCAGGAATTAAACGCTCGTAATAAACATGGTACGCGAGCAACCTGGGTTCAATCCCCGCCGGCAATAATTAAAAAAAATGCTATATTAAATACTGATTTACCGAGTACTCGACTGAAATAAAAAACATGCGTAAGTGTCGTGGAACACTCGGTTGGAGCGAAGTTCCTTTCGTAGTATATTATAATTATATTATTGATTAATATAATTATAATATACTACGAAATAGACATCTACATCTATCCTCAACTACGAATTAAAATGCAGATGCGTTGTCACCCGTGAGGATTAAGATTAAATCCTCGTTTCCAGTAAAACAGGTCTCCGGTTCTCTAGACTCACCATACGAAACACAGCAGCCTTAAGCTGGTATTCTGTGAGAGCGCGGTCCCTCCCCGGTGGAGCCGACCCATTCGTGCTACAACCATACTACTAATATAACTGCAGCATGGCTGTACCACGTATAAAAATGTTTATCTATTACACCTTCTTTCTCTTACAGTAAAAAAGTTCAGCTGATATACAAATATGCATGTAATATAAAAGTATTGAAAGTATTAAGATAAGATAAAATAAATAAGACATGTCAGAGCGACACTGCAGCTATATTGTGTCATAAACGGCTCGACTCGACCGGGATACGTAATGTGTTTCGTATAGTGAGTTTAGAGAACCGGAGACTCTTTTTGCTGGAAACGAGGCACACCATCTTAGTCCTCAGGGGTGACAACACATCTGCATTTTGATTCTTAATAGAGGATAGATGTAGATGTCTACGTGCTACAGCAACCACTTACCATCGGGTGGACTGTGTGCTCAATTGTCAAAGTTATTCTATAAAAAAAAAAAGATTTAGTTTTCTTTTTTTTTTGTGTACTTACCTACCTATTTCTAGCGTGGATGTAAATTGACTGAAGAGGAGGAATTATTTAAATTAAAAGAATAAAAATATTAAAACTTTATTTCTGCAATTCAAACATAAGTCTATATCAATCGCCAAGCAGCAATGGGTACACTGATATGGTCTGATCTGAAGTGTGTAGTCGATCAGTATAAAAACAGGCTGGGGGTATTACAAAGGTGTCAACATATCTGTCGCTTTATCTGTAGTTAGGTGCCTACATATTGCAGTAGCCACTTACCATCGGATGAACTGTAATTTCGTTTATCACGTCAGTTTTATAAGCTTCACCTTTGTTAAGATAACTATTTGTAATAAAGGTATATGGCGCACGTGCAAAACAAGAGCATCGAGGATGTGGGTCTAGAAGGCCCTGGCCTGGTGTTCATCGTGTACCCCGAGGCGATCGCCACTATGACCGGCTCCGTGTTCTGGGCTATCATTTTCTTTTTGATGCTGATCACGCTCGGCTTAGATAGTACTTTTGGAGGTAATTGTTAATACTATAATTTGTACTAATCAATAAATTCTTTTTTTTTGTGTTTAAAAATATGTGTAGGTTTTTCTCCAATTTCGTGGAGGCGTTTTATATGCACATGGGGAATCATCTACACCCGGAACAATTATTATGTAGGTCGTTTACACATGGTAGAGCCATGCTGCAGCTATATTAATAGTATAGTTGTAGCACAAATGGGTCGGCTCAATCGGGGAAGGACCACGCTCTCACAGAATACCAGCGCAAAATAGCAGCTTAACGCTCCTGTGTTTCGTATGGTGAGTGTAGAGAACCGGAGATCCTTTTTACTGGAAAAGTGGCATTCTATCTTAGTCCTCACGGCTGACAACGTCGTAAACGTCAACGTTCGTAAACGAAGATATATGTAGATGTCTATGGGCCGCAGCAACCACTTACCATCAGGTGGACTGTGTGCTCGTATGTCACCCTTATTGTATAAAAAAAAAACTACAAACATTTGTTCCGTACGGGATTTGAAGCCTCGGCCCTAAATATGGTTATTTACAACTACATGTTATAATTTGAATTTCACACACAACGCTAAGGGCCGCGGGTTCGAATCCCGCACGGAACATGTATTTGTATGGTCTACAAATAATTGTTCCGGGTCTGGATGTTTGCCCTTGTGAAATGTATGTATGTAAACTGCCCCCACGATACATGGGAAAATCCTAGTGTGGAGGTAACGTTTTAAAAAAAGAAGAAGAAGAAAAAACAAAGAAATAAAGAAAACCCCATCTGTTTTTGTCGGGGGTTAAAAACTATGAGCCCTGAAAACACTCTTTAATAGTACTAACCAGGAAAAATTCATTCAAGAACAACATTTCTTGCACTATAATGATGTAGTTTCCTGATTAATAACTCAAATAGGCTGATATTGTGTTGTTGTTGGCGCAGGCTTGGAAGCGGTGACGACGGCGCTCTGTGACGAGTACCCGCGTGTGTTGGGCCGCCATCGCGAAATATTTGTGGCCGTGTTGTTGCTTTTCATATACATCTGCGCCCTGCCTACTACCACATACGTAAGTAGCCGGAACGACTGCCTTTGTAGTTATGTTTTTACGTTTCGTAAATAAGTTTTGAAACGTAAAGCGAGTTTACAGTTTCAACATCGCCGTACGATCGTCTGATGGAAGGAGTGACACCCTGATTAAGCAAGCAGGAGGTAGGTTGCGATGGATTCCAGCGGCTAGAGGCTGTATTTTATGGCAATCGATGGGAGAGGCCTGTTTTCAGCGGACTCGTGATGGAAACATTGTAGTCAAAGATATTGAATTGTGACAGCACCGCTGCAATGGTGATTGTTTATTAAAAACCCCCTATCCCTCTTGATATCTAAAATTGATTTGTTGTTGCTATTTACTGTTCTATACTAGCCGAATTCAAAAAAGGAGGATGTTAACAATTCGACTGTATGTTTTTATTTTCTTTGTATGTTACGCGAGATCTTTGTTAATTGTGGACCGATTTTGATATTTCTTTTTTATTTTATGCTTTACACTTCAGGGATGGTCTCATATACATTTTATGAAAAAATACAACCCCATGGATGGCAAAATAGGGAAAGAAGTTTTTACTGGAACTATTTCAACGTCATTGAGATTGAGATATTCCTTAGTCCACTAAAAATAATTAAAAAAAACTTTTATTAAAAATTAAAAGCCAACTTCAGAGAACTATAAAAGAATTCAATAATTTTAAATTCCGAAGTCGGAGCTTTAATAATTTTTCTATACAATATGTCTTAGTGCCAACTTCGGAATGTGGAATTATTTTTTTCTTAAGTCTTACGTACTTTTTACGTCGACTTTTATATTTTGTGAAATACTTAGCTTATAAACATTTACCGACAGTTACCTCGTCAGCTATTGAAATTCTTAAAATCATCTTCCATTAAAACGATCTTGACATGCCAATTGACAAAAAGCGATTCATATAAAAACAATAAATTCAAACGAATAAAGGTCCCATTTAGACGATTATTATGATGAATTCGTCAGCGTGGTTGTGTCGAGTCAGCACAAGAGGAATCGTTTTATCAGCCATAATAAGACAAATCTGTTTCTAAAGTATATTTTTGAAATGAAATAAATTAAATCTCTTCATTCTCTTTGTTTATTTTTTAATCTAATGCCGTTTTAAAACGAGGTATTTTCCCTCTGACTGGAGAAAAAAACGAAACGAAAAGATAAGGCTGATCAGGCAATAGACAAATTATTTTAAGCAAAAGCATATACATTTTTCTTAAATTACCAATATTATTTTTATAAAAGTACTGGCCGACAAACGAGCACAAATTCGCACTGATGTTTTTTGAATGCTGTAGCCTACAGACATCTAAATTTATGGTTAATTAAGAATCAAAATGATGCATTCTCATCCCTGAAGACTAACTGACGACTTTCGCTACATCCCCACTTACTTTCAAGTAGAATATTAGTAGACTTAATCTCTACATAGTATAAAACAAAGTCGCCTCCTGCCGTCTGTACGCTTAGATCTTACAAACTACGCAACGTATCTTGATGCGGTTATCATCAGTAGACAGAATGATTTAAGGGAAAAGTTTAATGTATAATACATTCATGTTATAAATTATATATTTCTTCTGTCCGTGTGTATGTGACTGAACTCCTCCTAAACGCCTGGACTGATTTTGATGAAATTTTGTGTGTGATTAAGTTGATTAGAGAATGGTTTAGATTCACAATTGGACACGGTAGGTGGCGTTCCAGAAATCAACCCTGCGAAGCCAAAAAGAAAAAATAACAAAGAACATGTCATTCACAATAGATTTATGCTGGTAATTTACGCTAGTATTCAATGCGAGCGTGATCTTTCCTCTGTTGAGCCAACCCATGACAGTTGGTAATCTATATTTACCATATTCTAATCTCCATACTTTAAATACTTTATACTTCATCTCCAGTTACCAACAGGTGGGAATGTAGTCAAACATTGGCGTAAAATAGGTAACAAGGGCCAAAAATTTGTACCGACTTCAATATAAATAAAATGAGAATATCATCAATATAGTATAAGTCAATTAAATACGTATTATAAAGGATAACTCAAAAACTACTGGTCAGATCTTTATGAAATTTATATGCGACCACATGTTTTCAAATAAAAAAAAATAATCAAAATAGATTCACCTAGAAAAAATTTCTAGGATAACACCTACAAAATACAGTCGAATAGTATCTCCTCTTTTTCTTTTGAAGTTAATTAAAATCCGAACCAGTGGCATTTTGCCTTTTAGTGTTTTATCATAGGCGTCCTCCATAGAATCCTGTTTCTAAAAAAAAATTGTAAATAGTTTGTACAACCTTTCATATTGTATAATTTACTTTTTTTTAAATCCCGCTGGGTTTCTTGCTGGTTCTTCTCAGGACAGAGATTTAATTCCGAACCAGTGGTAAAGTAAAAAATTACTTTTAATAAGAATTATAAGATAAGATAAGATATTTTATTTACTAAAACATGTGTGAGATATACATTGCATGGGCAGATATATATTCTTGGTGTTAGTGTTATTAGTATCAACATGTCTTACCGATATTCGGTGTGTAAAATTTAAAGTGTTAGGTTGTTAGTTTTCATTTAACATTAGCAGTCTATTAATATACAAAGTCAGTGAAATTATTACTTACAACAATTATAATTAAAAGTATATGTATGTATAAGGCAATTATATAATGTCAAAATTTATCATTAAGAAAGTCAGTTACAGTGTAGTAGCATTTTTCAATTAAAAGGTTTTTGAATTTATTTTTAAAAAGATTGCTGTTCAGTGATTTATACATCTGAGGAATTTAATAAAATATAATAATAGATTTTAGGAGCCATGCATACTACACTCTTTCTTAGCAGAGCCGTTCTTACTTGTTGCAATCACAATTTACTTCCATCACGATGGTTGCGCTTTACTTTGTCAGACAACCATGGAAATAGGTTAGGATTGGCCCTGACAAAGAGAGCCATGTTCAATATGTATAAGGACGGAAGTGTAAGAATTCTATGTTTAATAAAATATGGCATACAACTATCGGCAGTCTGAAGACCAAACATAGCGCGGATACATCTTTTCTGACTTTTAAACGCAACTTCTCTGTCAGTTGAGTTACCCCAGAAAATGATTCCGTATCTAAGGACAGATTCGACTAGTCCATAATAAGCTGTTATAAGCTGTAGAAGAAAGTCTAAACAGTGCATAAGCCGAACTACTTATTTTTTTATTTAGTTCTAGTATATGGGCTTTCCAATTTAGTTTTTGGTCAATTTGTAAGCCGAGAAATCGGGTTTTATCTACTTCAGCAATAACAGTGCCATTGTAATTTACTTCAATGTTAGATGCGGTTATTGGTCTTTGGCTAAAATGCATGTGTGTCTTATTTAGGTTAATTTTCAAATTATTATTATTAAGCCATGCTATTATTGATATTAATAATTCATTTATGTCATTTTTATAAGATAAGATGTCATCACAGTTTATAGTTATAGTACTATCGTCAGCAAATAAGGTCATAGGTTGCTTAGTGGCATTTGGTAGGTCATTTACATATACTATAAATAAGAGAGGCCCTAAGACACTGCCCTGTGGTACACCGTATTTTACCAAACGCTCTGTCGAAGAGCTTATGTTCTCAGATTTGGTCCTTAGATTTAACCTACATATTTCCGTTTTTTGACGACGGTTATTTAGGTAAGACTGGAACAAACTCAATACATTGCCTCTAATGCCATATGCCTCGAGTTTGTGAATTATATTGTGATCTATATTGAATAAAATATTAACTATTCTATTCTAGATTGTCTCATAGTTGCCACGCTTGACAGAAGGCTTGGTAACCGCAGTTTTTTATTATTAGGGTTCCGTACCTCAAAAGGAAAAAACGGAACCCTTATAGGATCACTTTGCTGTCCGTCTGTCTGTCTGTCTGTCTGTCAAGACTCTTTTTCTCAGGAACGCGTGGAACGCTGAAATTCATATCATATACTCAAGTCTACTGTCCCTTAGAGCTGTGAAAAAATCAAACTTCTAAACCAACGCAATCAAAAGATACAGCCGTTTAACCCATAAATTTCCGACATTCGCAAGGGAATCAAAACCTACAGGGTACTTCCCGTGAACTCAGAATCTTGAAATTTGGTACGAAGCAACGTTTTATAGCACAGATAAAGGAAAAATTGCGAAAAGCATAAATTTTTAGTTACATCATATAATAAAAATATTTTTAATAGTTTTAAACTTATATACCTACAGATTTGTTCGGAACCCTCGGTGCGCGATTCTGACTCGGTTTTTTTTTTAGTTGTTATTAGGAACATGCTGCTGCCTATTTCCTGTTACAATTAATCGAATTATTCATCTAAATATCCAGGATATTTCAATTAACCTGTTTAAGTATTTAATAGTTATTGAACTTCTAAAGAAATACAAACCGATTTCAAAAAAATTAAGAGAATAAAATAATTTCCACATAACTTTATAGCTTCTGATATCAAGGCTTAAATTGTTCGATGCACTTTGTCTTTACATCGACTTTTTAACGGTGGTAGAGCCCTGCAGCAGTTTTTTGCTGTTGCACGTATGGGCCGGCTCGAGCCGGGTTGGTACCACGACCTCACAGAATACCGGCGTGAAGTAGAGGCTCTGCTTCTGCGTTTCGTCTGGTGAGTGCAGGTGGCCGGAGGCCCAATTCCCCCCCCCCCCCATCAACATGGTAGCGGAATTAGACAATAGACTACCCCAGGAGGGTACCAGTACCCCTGGAGAATCCCTCGCTGAGCATCCACGACCATGTTATTCCAATCCTGAGCGTGGGTGCTCAGGCTGCCCCGCGTATTCTGGGGGGGGCAAAATTCCGCTCAAAAACAAAACTGCTCGGGGCAAGCTGAGCAACAATACCAAGGCGACCCCTGCCACGCTATCCGTGAATTTCTGCAACATCAGGGGACTTCACTGTAACCTAAACGCCGTCCACTACCATCTCGAGACGGCGAAGCCGGCCTTGCTCTT